CCAGAGGCTAAATTATGACATAGGTTAGAATGTTGATTAAGTTCTGAGGTAAGACAGTGAAGGTGAATTGCTGCCCCTACCTGCTGAAAGCAAACTATTTCTCTTAATAAATGAAGACAGAGAAAGCACTCATCATATCAGTAGCTGAACACCAGCAATGAAAACATTTCTGAAACAGAAGTGGCAACTGGAATTACCCCTGGTGAAGTTTATGATAAACCAACTGGCTTTCTCCAAGATCCATCTGTCTTCTCTCCATGGATCAAACATGTGAACCCAGTAGAGATGTCAGAGCAATCTCTGTCTTCCATCTTTCATGTGCTTTGTAGTGGCACTAATCTCTGCAATCCCTCCAAGAATGAGAGAATGCTTTTTCCTATTTTAGCAGATAGAGGTCTCAGTGGCTTCTGCTGAGCATTTCCTACCTCATGGCCTTCCCTCTATGCTTTATGGAATCAATGTAGGGACTCTGCCAGTTACTAGTATGCCTATTGAAATTATGAATTCTGGAATTGTAGAAATAACTACAGGATTCAGGGACCTACAGAGTCTGTGACATGGATCTGAGTCAAATTCCATGGTTCATTTTCTCCATCAGCCTGTGTTCTGACTGATAGACCTTCTAGCTCTCTAGAAATTAGTGTTAGTTTGGATCCAGAGACTGCTAACTCTTTTTTTTTCTATATCCTTTTATTGGTACATTTTAGGTGTACAATATAATGACATTCATCATTGGAGATATGCATCTTTACATAATCTCTTGGTTCTTAGTTTTCCTCCCTTCCCCTGCCCTCCCTTGAACCCCTCCATCCCTCCCTATTTACAAAGACTTTTTTTCCATTTTTTCATTTTCTCATATTAATTCCATTCCCTTCTTTCCTTTCTCCTACCCCTCCCACTTCCCCTTCCCCTTTCCCTTCTTTCTTCCTATTTCACATTATCTATTATACCTTTTAGTCCTTATTTACACTTTCAGTTTCTTAAACTAGAGAAACTATTCGGTATTTACATGTGTCCTGTTTATTTCCCTTAAGAGTATCGCAGAGACTGCTAGTTCTTAAATAGTTTGACTATTTCTCTCCTTAATGTACAAACTTATGGCCAAATAGCCACAAGATTCTTGGGAAATTTGGAGGGAGGTTGCAGTATAAACTCTGTGTGTTAGTCCTTCCTCAAGTGGACATGGCTTCCCTTAATTCAAGGAACTCTGGGTGTGTGAACTGGCTCAAATCTGTGAATTGGTTGAGAGTAAGACTTCAGTTGGCTGCTTGTGGATTTCAGATTAGGTACCCCATCATCTGTTATTTAGGGCCAAAACTCTGAGGACAGACCATTTTAATTACTGTACTAGTTTTGCTGCCCAAGATGGTAACTAGTCCTATGTCATCTTTGGCAGTTAAGTGCCACCAATTGGCCCCTGTAATCATGGTATTCTATCATTCCCAATGAATTGAGGGAGCCCAGCTTAATTCAGTGAGCTAAGAGCAGGATTTCCCTTTGCCATTATTAGCATAGAGACAACAGCCACCACATAGTTTTTCAAGGATTATGGGTTCCCCCATACATGGGCTTCACACAGTGAAAGGATGTTTTTTGAACCCTTCTGAGTCAAAGTCAGAGGGTGGCAGGTAAGTTTGAGATAATAAATCCACTCTAGCATTTGAACCTCTCGAATCCTAGAATAACATTCACCAAGGTATACCAAGGAAGCCCTGGCATTTCAACTGTAAAATTATGCCTATGCCTTGGAACTGGCACATTGAATTTGGAATCTCTGTACAGGAAACTCAATAAACACTTGGCTTTTCCAATGTTATTGTCCTTGAACTCTCGTCTACTGCCCCTTTGATTCATTCCCATATATGTTCTTCAGATTTCTGCCTAGGTAAATTAGCAAAAGGCTGTTAATTCTTTTAGCATATGTTATACCTCCTTATTCCTCAAATGTTTTTGTAATTGGTAGGTCTTGTCTGGGTATAGATCTAGAAGCAGTAAGAAACAGTAGGAGTAGGTCCTACTACCTTATAAGGACATTATAGGTTCTTTAGATAAGATAAACCATCTCAGTAAGCACAGGATGAATTCTTACTATTGCAGAGAAGGCTTGGCAGAATTTAGAGGTATAGGGTCTCCAGCTTTGTTGGAATCTACCCATCTGCTCTTATTGCGTTTTCAGTTTACTCCCTTTCAATTAATGTCTTAACTTTGCCATAAGAGACTATGCAAGATGAAGAGTACTATCTGCATTGTTTTAGTCACCTGTAAAATTATACTTTATGTTTAGTTTTCAGAAATTTTGATTCTATGGCTACAAGGAATAAGAATTTCTTTTATGGTAGTTATTTATATCAGATTTATGATCCCTTGCCTGAGTTTTGCGCTGGATAAAACCCTAAGCATATAATTTTTTCCCTTAAATCCTCCCATACATTTGGAAGTAACCATACAATACACTTCATTATAACCTCTATTTTCACTAAACTTTGCTATGGCAGCACCTACTTGGTCACCCCAAGCCTTGACTTCTTTTTGGTGTCTACAAATGCTAATTTTAGTAATTGCTTTGCCACTGCATTATCACACTACAGGTGTTCCCCTTATTACCAGCAACAGTGCCTTTAATGCCTTAAATCTAATAAGATTGGGGCTAGTTATGCCAGCCAAGGGGGATTTGGCCTACTGTAGTCCACATCTCTCACTGCTTGCTGTGGTTTGGATCGTAAGTATCTTCCAAAGGTCCATGTGTTAAAGGTTTGCTTTCCAGGATGGTGCTACTGGGATGTGGTGAAGACTCTAAGGGGTGGGGTCTGGTGGGAAACTTTAGGCCATAGGGCATGGTCTTGAGGGGATGGTGTACCCCAATCTCCTCTCTCTTTCTTTTGCTTTCTGGACACAAGGTGAATGGTTTTGCTCTATCAAATACTCTCACTGTGTTATGCTTCTTTGCAACAGGCCCAAAAGCAAAATATATATGGGTTCTTAGTGGGGAAATACACCCTGAATATTGAATGAAAGGAAAATATTTTCAGGGAATATATACAAAATTTGAAATGAGCTGGGGTGTATAGCTCAGTAGCATGTATAACCGCCTGGATTAAAGCCCCAGCTCCACAAAAACAAAACAAACAAAAACACAAAAATGACAAAAATCCTCCAATACCCCTTCAACATTAAAAAAGCTTTTCTGCAACAAAATACTGAAATGAAGCAACAGAATAAAACACTACAATATAAGCAAATGAAAAATAAATACTCGCTTTTTAATATATTTAGCAAGCACTTGGATAAAACACACACTCACACCATATGGTGTATACTCAGATCTAGACAATATATTTTTTAAGGAAGGAATACTGGAGAAAATACAAGCATACAAACATATGGCACTGGCATGGGGGAAAACATAACATCCTATGGAAAATATATCAGTACAAAAATCTATTACATCTAGTAAAAAAAATGCAGAAAACTTGTAAGAAAAATGCCACGAGCCAAATTTTGAAAGACAATACAGAAAGGGAACAGTAAAGTCACATTGCTAACAAGCTTGAAAGGTCACTCTTGGGCCTGGGGCTCCGAAAGGAGCTTGGGCTTTCAACAGTACAGTTTAATGCCTCCTAAATCCAGTGCCTGTTTTCTCAGAATTGGGATGCTGAGATAGACCTTGCCTGGAGTGAGGGATGAAACTGACAGCTCTTTCTAGTCCTTGCCTTTACCCTCATCAGATGACCCTGATATTTTTATTTTCTAAGCCAAACTTCTTCACTCAGGTTCAGTATAGTTCCGAGTGAGTGAATCTTGTGAGGCGCCTGCAGCCAAGTTTGGCAAGGTTAAACTTTTTGAAGTTTGGAAACTGTTTTGTTGTTGATTTGGAAACTGTCAGGTAAAAGGACCGAAGACCAAGACCAGACCAGGCCACAACAAGCCTTTATTAGGGGAATAGATCTGCCGGGCTGCCTCTGAACAAAGGAGCGACAAAAGCAATATGGCTGGGTCAGGGAGAGTCTTTTATAGAGACTGGGGTGGGGTTTGTAGGTGCTGAGGTGGGGTTGAGTGAGGCAGTGACTAGGGAACGGAGGAGCCGGTGATGTCACTAGGTGGTAGGAGGTGAGCGAGTATCAGGTTACTTTCTAGGTGGGAACAGGGGCATACTGGGAAGAAGGGTTTATTCTTTGGTGGGAGCAACCATCTTGGCATGATGTCACACAGGGGAGGGGGCAAGGCACCATAGGAAGAGGGCAGCTACTATACATAATAGCTGCTGAGGTGGTGGGAGACCTATCAGAAACATTTAGAAACGTTTCTTCATTTTTGCCAGGCCCTGTCTCGGCTTCTATCTGCTAAGTCTCTTAGGAGGACATTGGATTAAAAACTGTACTTAAGGAAAAGCTGTTTTTCTGTAATGGATTTGAACGTCTTGAAATTTATGACATCTCAAAAGACAAAGAGACAAGCATTAGAAACACCAGCTCTGGTGGGAAGCACTTCTTGCGCGTTCAGCGTTCAAGGATTCAGGTTTCTCCAGAGCACCATCAGTGCAAAGCAGCAGTTTTGGCAACTGGCCCTGCTTTGTACATGGACACGTTTTATTCACCAAACATGATTTTCACAGGACACACAGACATATTTTTCCCAGGAACACAGAGATCAATGCTTTGCAAATGGGCACGTTTTGCACAAGCACATGTTTTGCATAGGGACACACAGACACATTTTGCACACGGACACGTTCTTGCACAGGACACATTTCTGCACAGGGGAACATATTTACTCAAGGACGCATATTACGGACAGACATAGGCTTTGCACCTACAAGCATACACACTCTGTCGTGCGCGGCAATGGCGGCGGCGGCGGCGGCGGCAGCCAAGTGGGGATTCGAGGTGGGCTTTAGGCGGCCCCAGCTAAGGAGGCACCGCACCAGGGCCGCAGGAACTACAACTCCCGGCAAGCAGCCACCTCCGGCGGACACTGGCTCCTGACAGGCTGGTCCTGTCCCCCCCCCCCCCCCCGCACAGGTCCCAGCGCCCTGAGTCGCCGGGTGGCCAGGCGGCGGTGCCCGGCCGAGGGGCCGCATGGAGCCGCGGGCCGCGGACAGATGCTTCCTGGGTGACGTGGGTAGGTGCGGGGCGCAGCCGGAACAGGGCAGGGAATGGGTAGCAGGGACCACAGGAGTTGCTTTTGGGGACGGTAGAAACGCATCTGATGGCTTTCGTCCCGGAGATGGGGGCCGCGCCCTGCTTCGAGCAGGTCGTCTGGGGCGTTTAGGTGGCGGGACGCGGGTGGAGTAGCGGCCTGTAATTTCGAACATCTCAGACTCACTCTCTTGTCCGGCCAGCACCTGGCACCTGACGCGCGCATTGCAGGGCCGCTCAGCCGTGTGACACACTCGGTGTGGGGATTCAGAACGGCAGCCCAGCAGAGTGCAGCGCGTTGGGGAAGATGCAGGCACGAGACGGGTGGTTGCCCAGTTGAGGGGCAGAGCTTGGACAGAGACCACAGGGACCCATTGGCTGGGCAGCGCCCGCACGAGCCCACTGAGGGAGCGGAACCGTCTCCCGGGCTCCTGCGATGCCCGAGGCGGTGTCTTGAGCATCCTTCGTACACACTAGCCGACAGTGTCCGCTCCAGAATGAGGACACCCACGGGACACCGTGGCACACGCGGTGAGAAAGGTGATCTCAGTTTTACACAAAGCCTTCTCTACCTTTTAGGTAGCCCAACAGAAAAATGGATTCTAAAGCAAAAGGACATTCTTTGGGGAAAGAAACACGGTTCTGCCTGGGAAGTAATAATATGGCAAATGAAATAAATGGTGATAGCGCTTTGAAGCTTGGAAAGAAAGAAAAAACCTTGAAGTGTTTTTACACTGGTAACACTAACACAAACAAAAGGAAAGCATCTTAAGTGGTAAATTTAGCCAAGAGGAAACTAGTCATAGCCAGGCAGAGATATTTTAATTGATCTTACAAAATAACCTCCTTCAAAATGATCAAAGGCATGAAGAAGCGTCTGTTCACTTGGCTTTCCACTCCGGGCTGGCACAAGACTTTGACCCTGACAGTGTGATCTCTATTCAATGGCCTTGGTTGAATATTCAAGGAACAGCTAATCACTGAAGCCTATTTAAACACACATTTTATTTTGTTCAGGTTAAGGGGTCAAAACAGTATGGTATCACTTCTGAATATGTTTTCGGCATAGCTTGTTAGAGAATGTGTCTATACAGGAAAGCACTTCTAATTAATGCATGAGCAATTTCTGGGGTATTCTCATGGGTATTTTTGAACTTGTCATTTTTTATTTAATATATTTTTCCAAAAATATGTTCTGCTGACATTTCATTTTCAATCCTAGCAAATAAGCTGAATGTGTTGAATGCAAAAATAATACTGTTATCCCAGCAAAAGTGGAGCTTGCAGTAGGTGCTTTAACCTGTTTTGACATTCTGACCTCAATTTTTATTTATTTTTTGATACTGGAGATTGAACCTAGAGCCTTCTCACTGAGCTACATCCCTAGCAAATTTTTTTTAGACAGGGTCTTGTTAAGTCACTAAGTCTCTCAGGTTGGACCCAAACTTGTGATCCTCCTGTCTCAGCCTTGTGGAGTCCTGGGATGACCTCATATTTTGTATCTGTAGTGTACTGTAACCAAAATGTGTAGATTTTCCATTTTTTAACATAAGACCTCACAGAAGTAATGATTTGCAGAGTCTTACAATGTGGCTTTTTCAATTTAAGGAGTCACATGTCTGCTTTTTAGCTCCCCAAATTTTCCTGAACTCACCCCACAACTGTTGTCTTCCAGTGTACTTATTTTTTGTTTGTTTATATGGATTTATTCTTCCTTTCCCTCTTACTCTAATTTTTTTTTAGACCAATGACTTTTTCTTATTGGAAATTTGTACCTTCACATAATCTCGCGAAGATTATTCTTATTTTCTCTTACTCTAAATTTAATAAGATGTTTGGTGAGGGAAACAGAGAAGATCCATGGTGCTTAACTGGAAATGTGCCCAAGCTTCGACATTCTTTACTTATGTACAGAAAAAACCCCTGAGAATCCAATAGGGCCAGAGCATTTTCTAAGGGACAGAGCGATACTGAGAAGTTATCCTAAAATAGGAATTCAAAGAAGACTTTTGACAAATAAATCAGAAAAGCCTATGGAGAGTTGAAAAAGATATCAAAGGTAGTAATAGTTACAGACAGAGCACTTTTTAAAGGTGAAACATTGAACATAATTTTCTGATTATTTCCATAAAGTGGCCCTGTGAAACATTACCTCTGATTGTAGGAAAATTGAGGCATAGATGGTTTAAAATGAAAACCTTCCCTTATGTACCTACAGGAAGACTAGCAAGAAGGGGATGAGAGCTCAGGCCTTTGTAAGGCAAAGCTCAGCGGTGCTGTACTTTGTCTTGGGACTTGGAAACCAGGGAAGGGCATTTCTCTACCCTTTGGTCATAAGCATCTTGGGATGGGTAAAGGCAAGGGAAGGAGTCAAGATTATTGGGTGACTAAAGAGGAGAGGGGAGGAAAGACTGGAGGTTAAGGGATCCAATTCTGTATATTTTCAACAAGACTTGCCATGGAAGATGTCTGTTGTTCATTAAGCAGCCACTTTCGTTCCTTTCTCTTGGTTGCCTTGCACTTCTTAAGCAATACACTTTCACTTTTCTTTGTCTTTCACTTTTCCTTTTTCTTTTTGTGGCTCATGATGTTTTGACTGTTTTGTCCCTCTAAGAAGTCTGTCTATGGGGCTACTGTTCATTACTTCTGGGAGGGTCACCCTTCTTGAATTGATGCAGTATGGAGAATCGGGTGTAGAGTTGCAGGAGGCACTGATGAATTACACGTGAGTTCACAGAGGTGAGCTAGGCCCACATCACATACACTCTTTAATGCCCTGCCAAGCATTTTGGACTCCACTCTCCAAGCAGTGGAGATCACTTGAGTATTTTAATAGGAGTACTGGGATTGTGTATTTTGTGTTGGGTGTTCTCAAGCGTCCTTGGAGTCTTATGTGTGCTCATTTGTCCTAGGTAGAAGTGTCGAGGTCTTAGCACAACTCTGTTTCTTCTGCAGGTTTCTGGGTGGAGCGCACTCCCGTGCACGAGGCTGCCCAGCGAGGTGAGAGCTTGCAGCTGCAGCAGCTGATCGAGAGTGGAGCCTGTGTTAACCAGGTCACCGTGGACTCCATCACACCATTGCATGCGGCTAGTCTGCAGGGCCAGGCACAGTGTGTACAACTGCTTCTGGCAGCTGGAGCCCAGGTAAGAGGCCCTGTAGGACAGAGCCCTCCCAGCCTGGGTGTCACTGCAAGAAAGGATGAGGCTGACTGGGGAGACCTCTAGAGGGAGGAAAAGGAATGACTTGGGCTTCACTTTCTGTGATGTGCAAATACATGGACAGACTGAACACACTGAGGGAGACTAGAGAAAAGGTAGGAGGA